CCCCCCCCCCCCAACCAGGAAGAGACTTGTACCATCCCTGCCCTTAGGACAGGTGTCAGCAACCTGCAGCCCATGGGCTGTACCTGGCCCATTAAGTAATTTTACAATGTGAAGCTTCAATGTCAGAAGCAATTCAGTGGGGGAACAGTAGCATAACTAGGACAGGGTGAGGGAAGCATGCACTCTGAGTGCCAGCTATGAGGGCTGCCAGGATTTCCCCTGCTGAGATTCTTTGCTGTAGCAAAGGAAACTGCACTGCCTCTGCTGGACCATAGAAGGCAAGCAGCTCAGTGCTGCACCAAGTATTGCATCTGTACACGTGACCTAAACCTAGGTACAAATGCAGTCACTGGAGTGACCCTGATGCCAAGGTTAACTTGTGTTTGGAAGAGAATCTGCCAGAGAGGCCATAGCTCTCCTGGCTTTGCTACTTTTGATGCGTGACACTTGCCTGGAGCCTAAGCTCCTGGGCTGGAGACTAGATCTGTACAGGGTATTTGAGATCAGACTCCAATCTGTGAAACACTGAATATTGCAGGTTTTCATGTAGAGCCCGGTAGGAGTCCATCAAAGAGTTCACTTCTGTTGCTGCCATTCTAGCAAGGTTGGAAAAACAGATCACATCCAAGCCTTAGGAGCACATTTCCAGTTTCCCGCCCACCTGTATCCCAGCAAGACATCACATGGGGCTAAAAGTTAACTCGAGTTGCTGAAACTCTGCATTTACATCTGTAAATTTCTGCATCCTGTTTAATTAATGTAAGATTTGTGGGGGTGATCAAAGGGAAGAGAATGATGTTCTCGTCCTGTCTCCCTCCATCTCATTTGAAGCTTTACAGTGACAGGTGAAACCCTGTGATGCCTCTGTCCGGCCACAGAAGTTGGGCAGTACAACACTGTACTAGTGTATCTGGGGAGCAGGGGAACAAGTAAGGTAGGCAGAATCGTGCTCCTCACTCCCTTCTCCCCTCCACCCACTGCAATAGACTGTGGCCAGGTACCTTGCTCTCCCTTCAAGGTCTACTACAGTATTTTGTTGTCACCCAAGACCTTTGCGGTCAGTGAAGTAAACCTACACATTCTCTAAGAGCTACTAATATCTTTTGTTTTATCTCCCTGTTTTCAGAAGAGAATATAGCTAGGGATATTTCACCAGGTAAGCATCCAGGGTTTACAATGCTCTTCATGGATAATTCTAGCAGAGGAGGCAGTCTAATATGATTTTAAAAAACCCCTCAGTAAGGCTAACTGAGATCGTATGTAGGCAAAATTCACACTGAAATCCAGTTGCTTCCATAGGATCTATGGCAGGCTTGTCCAACATACGGCCCATGAGCTGCCATGCAGCCCTCCAAGCTATTTTCTGAGGCCCAAGGTGCTGTGACAGGAAATGAAAGTAAACACTGTACTTTCGTTTCATGGGGGGTGATGTGATACCGCTTCCTGTGAGGTCTTTGAATATGGCTTGCCAGCCCACTGGGTGATAAAAAGTTCATGATCCGGCCCCACATTCAAAAAGGTTGGACACCCCTGATCTATGGGATAAACTGAAGAATCTAATTAGCAGGGGTTTTTATTGAACAGATACTGTTGTTTTCACTTTTGGAGAGTATCACTAATACTTGGAAGCTTTATGAAATACTTTCATTTGATTCAAATTTAAATGTAAATAAGGTTCAAGTCATGGTCTTATTTTACTGACTTAAGACAACTGCTGGCACTGGATGTATGACCCAGATACCTTGTTTCAGACAGACCCAAACCCTCAGACCAACCGTGACCTCTGCATTTGCTAATAGGTGAATATTGATACACAATGATAGCAGATAAGAATAATGCAGGCAAGGCAAACAAAATAACCCCCTGCTCCCCAATTCTGTATCTACCAGTCCTAGAGCTATCACAGGGGAAAGGTACCTCTGGCCAGTATGTGAACTTCACCCTGAGGTTCTTTCTTGAATGTCAGATGTCAGCAGCCTGGAGGTCAAAGACTGAGCCCACCCTCACACACACAGTGGGGTGGGTGATATGGGATGGTGGTGTGCCCTCTGTCCATGGTGGCCTTGGGTTCCCCTCTCAGGGACGCTTTGCTACTCTGAAATCCCTCCTTTTGTATCCTTTCTTCCTTCTAATGACTCTTAATCTCTGAGCATCATTGATTGGGCTCCCTGTGGTCATCAAACAGTCCACATGCTGTCCTGTCAGAATATTGCTTTATTTCACAAACCCATCACATGCATACATCTTAATTTGGTCTGATCACCAACACCAGAAATCCCAAGGGCTCTGCAGTTGGGGACTGTGACCTGGCCAATGTGGCAGCTATGGAACAATGCAGTACATGTCTTCAGTATCCCAGCCTGTGTGTCTGCTGGCTTCAGACACAATGGGCCGTGATGGAACCTTTGTCACAAACAGGCTTTTAGAAATCAATTAACCCTTGCCATTCTCCCTGGACCATTGTGCTAATGCAAATTTACTTTACCTACAAGCCAGTTCCCAGAAGCAAACCTCTAAATATCATTTTCTAGCTGTTAACAACTTCGTCTCTCAAAAGCTATCCCTTCTCCATAGTGTGTTACCACAGCCCTCTCCTTTGTTTAGCAACAAGTCTTATTACTTTATTTTGCACAGATAATGGTAGGAACTTGCAACAACAGTCTTCCTCCAGAGGCTGTTTACACTTACTTGCTATGTGCCATATTAACTTACATTCAACCCCAAAATTGCACATGTAGAAAAATGCATGTCAGTAGAAATCCAGAACTGCAGGAAAATGAAAAAAGCTGTGCACTGAAGAATCATAAGAGGGGACAAAGCTAAATCAAAGTAGTAAATAATGGCTACGTGCAAACATTACAAAAGGCCAAGGTGGATTTGAACTAACTTACATGGGTACCTCTAAGTAGACTATATTAGGTCAGGAGTGAACAGAACACAAGTTCATGCTTTCATGGGAGGGGTGCACAAAGGCTGCCTGCACTGGCCAGGGCCAGCAGATTGGGGGCTCTCCTGAATGCCTCCCAGCCTGCCAGAGACTGCCAAGAGTAGTTAAATGCAGCTGACTGGTGGGCCACCCCAGATTGGCTGCCTCTCCCCACTGCCCTGTCACCTGTCAGGCAGCTGCCACCTTCAAACAGTAAGTAGAGGGAAGCATGCTTACTCCAGCTCTTGGTCGCATGACAGTCCCTAGGCTCAGGGATCTGCCCCAGGAAAGACAGAGGAGTTAGGGGGTGGAGAATGGGGCTTGCGAGCTGCCAGGAGGGAGGCAGTGCCAGTGGTGCACCCCGCATTTCCAGCCCAGGTCAGTGGGGCACAGAGTGTCCTTCCCCTGTCTCAGTTCTGTCTGAGCCTCAAGCACTGTGGAGAAGCTCTGGGAAGGGCTTGGAGGATTCCTTCTGTCCCCCAGAGCCAGTGCTGAGTTCCTGGCTGAAGCCCCTTCCCCTGAAGCCACAGGGCTCTGGTCCCTGGGGAGGTGGGGGCAGTCATGCCTTTGCAGCTAAAGTGCCTAATGCAGGGGTAATTCTAGTGCCAAGATCAGGAGTTGGGAGTGGAGGCCCTTTCCCCCACCAAGCCAGCACAGCACACAGCAGCATCTGCCTGGCTTCCCCATGCCCTCACGCCCCTCACCACTCACTGTTTAAGCAGGGATCCTCCCCTCCTCTCACCCATAGCATGGACCATAGCCAGCATGTGGCATGCTAGCTAATACTGAGATGTATCTATGTAAGGCAGACAAGACACGGGCAGACAGGACAGTGTCTGCTTAGGGCTTTTTGGAGCTAATCAACAGGGAGCTGGTAAAGTCCCTCCTTGAAATGTTCCTTTCCTTGGAGAAAGTTATTTAAGAAGAGCTTAAATGAATGAGAGAGGCTTTGTTTTCTGATGGGGTGCTAAATGCTGATAACAGAGCTGATAAATGCTCTGTTATCAAGGGAGGGAGGGGGAAAACTTCCCTAATCAGGGCATCCTGCTGGGGCCTGGCCACACCCCCCCCAGCTCAGTCCTGTGGAAGGGAAGGGAGGGCTACTTTAGCGCTCCCCCTGCCCCACACTGCTTCTAGCCTGAGCCACTGCAGGCGTGTTCCTGAATTTCCTCAGTCCAGAGGGGATGTCTGTGTGGTTACAAACCAGTTCAACCTAGGCAGACTAACCTACAAAGATTAAATCAATTCAGGCTCAGTCATTTTGACTGTCTATCACTAGCATTAGAATTTAATCTCTCTGAAACTTTTTTTGTTACAGGGGCTGCAAATCACCCAAACCCTGGGCATTCATATTCAGCAAAGATCTCAAGCACATGCTTGACTTAAAACTTACGGCCATCAAAATTAGTGAGACTTAAACAGCTGTTTTGAATTCATGTACTTACAGGCTTTGCTTCCTAGGTATGGTTTACAATGATTTTGTCTAAAATAAACTCTTTAAGTGAAGTTTTATTCAATTGTGTAAGTGTTGACTATGGTTTGTGGCTCACTGTTTGTTTGTCATGCAAACATAAATAGGAGCATGCATGCCTCTTTAATGAATAATGCTAGAGGTATAATTTACATGGTGTGTGTTAAAAAAGGCTGCTGCTGCAACAGAATGGATTAGCATAAGCTCTTGGGGGAGACAGTGTGTCTTCTTCCATGCTTGAACAGTGTGTTATAAGTATGGATGCCAGAGTTAACAAATAGTTATGAATAACAAAGGCAGTGTTGCTGACAGAATAAAGGCCACTGTTTAGTATCAACTACATGTATCAGACAGATAAATATAAACCTGGTCAAATTAGCACACTGTTCTTTGTAAATGAGTGATTTTTAAAGATGAAATCCATTATACCTGCATCATTTTTTCCCTCTCTGTCTCCTTTTGAGTTTAATTCTCTTCTGTCAAATACCAGACAAACTGTTGTCAACGAGGCAAGCAAGCCAGCTTCATCACTGCAGCACTGACTTTTGTGCTTTTTGCATGCAAGCAAAGTAAAACAAACTAAATGTCAAGGAGCACAAGTTGCCGACAATAAATGTTTCTATGGCCAGGATCTGAAAAATTTCACAACAAATTTCTAGCCTTTAATTTGTCATAGTCAAAAATACCTTGCTTCATTTTCAGTTAACTGTTTAATGTGTTTGTAGCCTATTAATAAGACAATATTAAAAGCAAACACCTAGTTACAAATGTGTTTTATGATTTTTTTTTTACATTTCAGTTACTGCTTCATCAAATATGTGTGCCATGCATTGCCCTCAGTACAGACTTTAGTTACAAGTCATAAGAGCAGGGAGAAGGGAGCGCTAATAAAAGAAGTATATACAGTATGCAACCTGTCACTTTCTATGGCTTTGCATTTGATGCTGAGAAAAATGCAGGCTAGGTCTGCATGGCAGATCTCTTCTGGCACAGATACCACCAGATAGCGGAGTGGTTCCTGATTGATATAGATGTGCTGACAGAACTTTATAGTATATGCGCAATAATACACTGAGGGAAAATGGCAACTTTACTAGGATACTTTGTTTTACTTGTTGGGCAATAATTCAACAACACCAATACACAGAACAATTTTGGTGGTCTAGCAGCACCTAATCTAGGAGGTACATATAATATAATCTTGCCAGCTCATATTAACAGCATTCCAAACCTGGCACAAAGCCCCCTGTGTAGACCTATCTGCAGACTCCCCTCTCTTTGTAAACATTTTGAGATGTCCCAGGTGGAAATGTAAATGTCATAGAGTTGCATCACAAATGGCAACAGCAGGGTTTCATGAAGCCCATTAAATCTGTGATTGGCCATCAGCAAGGCTTGACCCCCGAAACAGTATAATTAAACACTGAAAATCCCCCTCGGTTAAAATCAACACAGCATCTACAAAAATAGCATTAGTTTATCTAGTGAGATAGAGGTTGTCATACAATCAAAATAAATGCCTTTCTAACTTTTTCACTTTATTGAACTCTCACTAGTGTGAGTAGTTCCTGTACATGTGAGCAGCTCTGTGAAGCATCTGTGTAAGGAAGATAAGTGGTGACAGAAGTAGCATGGCCC